GTGTGTGTGTGTGTGTGTGTGTGTGTGTGTGTGTGTGTGTGTGTGTGTGTGTGTACATGTTGCAATCATGTTCCAGGATGTGTATATTTGTGTTTATCTGCAGCTTTAATGCACGCTCACATGTGTAAAACCGTCTGTGTTTATGTGTTGAACACATGTAGCGAATGTAGCCTTAGATAAGAGGTTCTCAAACTAGGGTTCCAGGACCCCCAGGGGTCCGTGACCAGCAGACTGGGGGGTCCTCAAAAAATATACTAAACTCTTTTGCTTTTTATGTTTTAAAAAATGCATAAATACACATGGGGACAATGCATCAGTAAAACAAACACACTTAACCAAACAAATAACTATTCCTGTGGATTTAAGGCAGGGGTTGTCAAACCTTTTGGGTCTGGGGACCCCTCATAAACCTCGTGCTGATTTAAAAATAATTTACTTCCATTTTAACCCTTAAATGCCATGAGGACATGTTTGGTTTACTTGTACATTGTTACACACGTGCATTTATGCATTTAGAAAAAAAACCAAAATCAACTTTATTGTCATTTTTTGAGGACCCTTAGGGGTCCTGGGACCCCAGTTTTAGAACCTCCACATTAAGGGGTTAAAATGGCAATAAACCATTTTTAAATCAGCAAGGGATTTATGAGAGGAGCTGAGAACATTTTCCTCACACCCAATAAGTTTGAGAAAACCTGACTTAGAAAACTTGTTTGAATAACTTGTTATTTTCTGTATTTCTTACCTTTAGTCAGTGTTGTTTTATGTAGGTGCAATTATGACGTTCTGGGCTTTAAATTTTAGCTTTAAATCATGGAAGTGAAGCATTTTGGACAGTTTGAAGACTTTCTTGCAGACTAAGATTTGGTTAAGGTTAAAGTTTGAAGAATAAAGCTGAAACAGCAGAAAAACGCTGAGTCAGCTCAGCATCTTTGGATCAGCTAAAACTGTAGCTGCAAATAAAATCTGCGACTCTCTGGGTTCCTCATTTGCCCGAAATGGTGCGCGTCTAAAATATGTGATTGCAGAATGTAAAAGTCTGAGCTCTCCCGCCTCAGTAATGACCAGGAATGGGTCAGTTTGAAGGATGTAAAACAATGATTGATGACCCGCTCCAGCCGTCTCACAGTCGTCCTCCTGTGTTTCTGAGCAACACAGGATAAATCTGACTCAGCGCTTCTCCTCCAGCTCAGGCCTGAACCGTTGCAACACTCCTCTGGCATCATGCAAAGTAAAGTCCGAAACATTAGCAGAGCTTCTGATGTTTGATCAACCAAAAACTGATTACCGGTTACTGACAGCTCTCAGGCCACAAACTCTGCTCAGATTGAGTTATCTCGAATTATTTCTCCTCCTCTGTCTCTGTGTTCCTCTCAAAAACATCACCTGACGTCGACTAAAACCCAAATAAATGTTTAAAAAGAGAGATTTTTCAAATGTATTTACTGTTAAATAAAATTTAAAGAAACAGAAACACATTTTGAGCTTGAACAGTAAAAGGACGATTCTGCTGATGTAAAGAGCACAATCAGGCTAAGTGTTTTAGAAAGGAAAACATAAAAGCAGCTCTACGAGAAAGAAAACGAGTCGTTTTGTCTTTTTTTCCTGGTCTCAGGACAACAAACCCCAGCTGACACCATAATCGAACCCTCACGTGACTAAAGTTGTGGTGAATGTCTTGAGAAGCTGCTGAACAGTTGATAATACGAACAAGTTTCAAACTTTACTTGCTGACTTCTCTAAAAGAGCTCAAACTGACTGATCTGCTGTTCTGGATGATTCATCTGAAGAATGAAAGCAAACTGGACCTTTCAGGAGTTTGGGGAGAAACGGGGGGGGGGGGGGGGTTCTGCAGAACTAAACTGCAAACTGTTTTCTTCAGTCAGAAAGAGTCAAGAAAGCAGATTTTAAAACATGTGTGAGAAACAGAGGAAACTCCTGACCCTCCCACAACGTTGTCGAGTTATCGCCGGCCGCTTCTCCACGTCTCGCCAGCTGGAACTAATCATCAGCAGCTCCTCGTTCACTTTCTCTGAAGCATGCATTCATTTTTCCTTTCCTTTCCCCCGGCTTCTCCTCTCTCTCTCTCTGTTCCTCTCCCATGCCCTCGTCTTCCTTCACTCTGACATCTCTTCCCTTTCCTGAAACCCTTCAACTTATTTCCCACCTCCTCCTCTCGTGGAAGAACTTGGATGAATGTAAACATCAGGAGGAAACATGGAAAAGCCAGCAGCATCATGCAGCTCAGCTTCTTCTTTCGTAAAAGAAAACACAATCTGGATTTGATCTGTGACCACCAGGCTGCACATTAACCAGACCCATTCGTGTGCAAACATCTGTGATCTCATGGCTCTTGTGCTGCACAGTAAACACCTCGGACCATGTGGTCCAAGTTCACGGTGGCTCCCATCCAGCTGTGAGCAGAACACATCTGCTGAAAACAAGAAGCGAACTTACCTGGTTCACAATCTGGTTGAGAAGTTCACTGCTTGGAGACAAATCCAGCAACCGGAGCAGAATTCCCTTCAGAAAACTGCATGCTACTTTAGAGGGAAGAGAAGCGTAAAGAGTGGCTGGAGGACTGGCTCCGATCTGGTCCGACAAGCTGAGGCTGCAGAGAGGAAACCCAATCCTCGGGCAGGCAGAGACACAAGCCTGTTGGCTCAGCAGCAGCAGCAGCAGCTCCAGCGGTTTGCTTCGTCCTCACCACCTAACGGAGCTCAGCCTGGTGCTATCTGTGCGTTTAGGTCATGCTCAAAGTATGTTCTGCAACGCTCAGGGAAACCACATCCTGTTACATATTTACCTCCCTCCCTCCCTCTTTAACCTTTCTATCTGTGTGGTGTTCTGTCTGTTTTCCTGTGTCTGTCTCTGGCTGTGATTGTCTGAAGCCACTGAGAGCTGCGACCCAGCCTCGGCTCAGAGCTGCCTCTCTCTGAGGCTGCGTCTCTCCGGCAGCCGCTCCGGTTCCACACGACTGCCTGAAGAATCCATCTGAGGAGAGGTGAGGAGAGGAGAGGAGAG